CGCATCAGCTTGTGCGAATCACATACCGCATAAGACGCAACTTTAACGAGGGTCAATTTACAAGTGAAGTTTTCCTCGGCGTTGCCAGCGGCTTTAACAATGTTTGGCACGTCGGTATCCTTTAGAAACTTCAATCCATGAATTTTCCTTTGTACCTTGTACATCTTATCCCACTCTTACCTAGTTGTAACGATGAGCCAGCGTGACTCATGGCAAATCTATTAGGGACGCTGTGGAGAGGATTAGCCTAGCACTCAGGAAGTACGGGTTTTTCCGTAAAGGGAAGGAACCGCGAGGAAACGGGAAGACACAAAGGCTTGGGGAGTATCCGGCCTATAGAACTCTTTGCATTATAACAAGCGAGGGCGTGCGTGACGTAGTAGGTTCACGTTGGCCTCGCCTATATAACAGAGTTGTACAGGCCAGGGGTGGGTTCTGGAGACACGGGAGAACCTCGTGCGGTGACACAAACTTGGCGCCACCGACGCGTGCATATGCGAGCCAGGCTCGCCGAGCTGGGAGTCATAGTGACGAAAGCCTGCGGCTTATGTCCTTGCGGTGACTCGGTCACGAGGGGAGCGATGCTGTGATGCGTTGCTCCGAGCGAAGAGTGTTGAGTTGCCACGATTCATCCGATTTTCAATCGGATAAAATCGCTCCTGCGATCGAGCAAACAGCCGTTGTGCCCAGAACGAACGTGTTCCCAGCTGGACATCCGTCACCGGAAGCTAGCTTTGATGCGCGCTTCAAAAAGTAAGGATGCGAAATGCCACAATCAAACCATCTTCAATCGGTTGGATCGCTCCCGCGATCAGGATTAGATATGTCTATCAGAGCTTAGATAAGTAATTATAATGTATATATTTGTTTTGTTTTCTTGTTAATAAATATATTTGTTATATGAAAGCTCTGTGTCTGTGGTCACTGTGAGTATCCATGACGTCACACTAGCATACAGACCGTTCCAAGTAACGCTTCTGAATGCTGATTCTATCCGCCGCGCAGTACGAGCCGGAGTGCCGCAAAGGAGCTCCTACACTCTTCAGCCTCTGTGTACGTGATATTTCCACGCACCCTCAAACGGAGCTCGCCTTCTACGCTGACGATACGGCTATAAGAGCCACGGCGAAAAATATCGAGATTCTCCAGAAGTACTCGGATCAGCATTTACTTCAGATCCAGGAATGGCTGAAGCTGTGGCGGGTCAAGTTCAATGTGAGTAAGAGTACAGCTCATCCCTTCACCCGGAGACGGTGATTCGCGCAGCCGAGCCGCTCACGCTATGCGGAGACGCGATTAATCGGGCAAAACGTGTAAAATATTCAGGTGTCACTTTAGATAGCCCACTTACTTTTAATCTGCACATTGAACGCATGGAAGAAAGCGCGGCAGACCAGAGGCAGATTGCGAAGCCGGTTTCACAAGCGGAGCAAACTCTCAACGGCAAATTGCCTCACGCTTTATAAAGCAATTATTTGGCCGCAGCTGGACTACGCATGCCCCAGTTGGCAATTGCAGCAAATACACATTTGAATAAACTGCAAGTAGTTCAAAACAAATGCCTAAGGGTTACCCTCTGTCCCCTAGATACACTACCATTAAAAAATTTTATCGCAATTTATCAATTCCACTGCTGATTGATCATATTACAAATATTGTTTCTAAATCTTTTGAAAAAGCAGCTGACCCAGAAAACTCTCATTTCCGAGATCGCCTCATTCCAACCCGATCAAGCACTTCCTGAAGTAAGAGTAACCTGAAACAGTAATGAGACTTGAAAGAAACTTAGCATTTCTGCACACGCAATGCGCACGCTAGTGGGGTCAAGTCATTTTTGACCTCCTGTTTTTTTTATGTTTCAGGATTAGCCATAGATGCTCGTAAGGGTAGGAATTATCGCAACGCAGTGGCGTAAATGTGCATTGCACTTTCCGTGCGTTCACCAAACTACACAAAGAAGGCTTTGCGGGCAGTGAAAGTACCAGTTGGTGGATGGTAGTACGACGTTGTGGCCCGGACATTAGTGACGAACTGTACGAAGTTACGTGTAATTTCTCTGGAGACTCGGCTGGACTGCGCGGTGAATTGCGACATCTGGGATTTTGGCTTGTACCTAGTGATTCTTGGATTTCGGTTGTTGGAAAAATAAAGACAGGTGTTACTTGTACGAACAATTGTTAACCTCCCTGATTACTCCAGATTACCCAACATAAAGGTCATGTACATTTTTTTAAATCTTTTAATAGATTTCACGCCGTATTGCGAGCAATAATTTTAAAAATTAACAGGAAACAAAATTTTCTCAAAAAGGCTTCCAATATTTTCTTTAAACTTTTTGGTAGAGAGAGGGTCAAATGTACTCTGAGATGACATAAACGCCATATTACTTTATTCTTTTGTTGTTTTTTTAATTACAAAAATATAATATTTTTGGCCTGTCTCTCACGTTAATATTTACATTATCGGCGATTTGTTCACATTGAATTAATGAGAACATGTGCTTAAAAATATGTTATATAAAGTTTTTGAAAATCTCAAAATTTTTCTGAAAACGAACTAAAAATTCTGCCTTCTCCGAAACGCTTAATCTTCATATTCTCAAAGGCTCCACATTTTTTCTTCAAACTTGTGCATATAGTGCTAATTGCACTCTTGGAGATGACATAATATTCATTTTGCTGTATAATATTGTTTTTTCAACAATTACACATGTCATTTTGTAAATATGACTCACGCTGATAATAATCTCCCTTCCAGCGATTTGTAAACACTATTGCATTTGTGAGTGGAAGTGCTTCAAATGACTTCCAATCAAGTTTTTCGAAAAAAGAAAAAAAAAATCTGAAAACAGGCTTTAATTTTGCATTTGCATTAAAGCATAAATCGGCATTTTCTTAAAACTTCCAAATATTTCAATGAAAATTGCTATTTAGTCCCAGGTTTTACTCTTATTTATTATTCTTAAAGTAACATTTCGGTACCACTAGTAAACCAAATTTTGAGACACTGTTTATAACTAGTGGTGCTAAAACACATTTTATCGCCCCTTAGCAACAGTTTTGTAATATTATACCGCATTTCTGTCTGTATCACATCTCAGTCAATGAGCAGTGAGAACAAAACGCGCATGCAGCGATGGGCGCTGCCAACTGACTATATATCGTTAAATAACTCCTAATAAAAAGCGTTCTAGGGCATTAAAAACTAAAATTTTGAGGCAAAAGACCTAAAAAACGTTTCTGATACCGTAATCTATATGATGAGATTAATTATAATGGTTAATTATTGGTTTATTATTAACTTTTATTCATTTTAATTCAATTTCCATTCAAACTGTGATCCACGCGAGCTCCAAATTTTGCTCCATTTGCACATTTTTCTCATCGTAATCAACAGGATGAGATATCCTTGAACATTCTGTTAAACTGTTGCTGGTTCGGCACTTATCGATACTACGCCGTCTATATTTCAATCCTTGGTGATCTTTGTGATATCACGCTTAGAAGACTTAGATTCATTTACCTTATACTATTTACGCTTTCTACGTACACCGTTTGCGCAGACTGACGAAGTTTATTTGCATAATTATTAATTCAAGATTCGCTCTCGTAGCACAAACTAGAAGTACTATTAGTAGTTGCTTGATTCCGATGATTGTTTTTTATGCGTGTAATGAAATCATTCATTTAACGTTTTGTCGAGGTCTACAAGTGCTGTATACCTAATTGTGGAGGGATGTGGGTGTACAGTGAAGAAAGAAATCGTGTCTTATTAGGTTTAGTTTGGGTTTTTCCGGCACCAGTATTTTCGTTATCAGTAGATAAAATCAAGAAATCTCTCCATACTACTGAATAAATGTTTATTGAAAATTTATTTTCAACATCAATTGCATTTTTTTAAAAAAAATTTGATGTTGTGCTAGTACATTGGAAGTTACCTTTATACATTTTAAAACAAATAAATAAGTTTTGATAACAACTTTCCTTCTTAAAATAGAAACACAGGGAAGCGTGTAAAGTTTGACATCATGAGCTCTCGCACGGGTACGCGGGGGTAGTAGGGGAAAACTTGTATTATAGGACAACACAAAGCACAAACGTTTAAAATTAATTAAAGCAAAATAGCTTGAAAGAAATTAACAACAATAATAAAAACGCGCCAGCCTTGAATGAATTTACAAGAGAAACGACATTTAAAATTATAGAAAGAAAATCCATAATCACTCGACCACTACCAACGATCACAATCCAGACGCACGATTTTAGTATTTGCAGTATCTGGAAGTCTGTACATCAATGGCTAGGTGTAACTCATATCGTAAATAACACACCATTTGATATTAAACTTAAGGTTCTCCAATATATTCAATACGTAAACATCGTTTCAGCAACATTCCCATGTACCGAAGTGAAGTCTAAGGGTACAGAATTGTTTCTAATGGTAACAAATGGTATTTATTACTCAAAGGTGAAAATATTTGTTTTATAATTTTGTGGCTCGGAATTGCGTTTCTTGAGGTACATAAGAACACAGAAAATAATCCAATACTTTCTTGTATTCAAATAAGTTTTCAATTTTCGCACTCCAGCAATCTGGAGCCTTGCCCCTCCACAACCCCTTATTCCTCATAACAAATCCAGGAAAGTTAAATAATATTCGAAAGAATAGGGTTGTCCTGTATTTTTGCATGGAAAAGTATACTTGACTCTCTCAAGAGTGAAAACCTTTTCTAATATGTTTGTGATTGTCATGGAAAGCGAAAATCTAACTGTCAAGGAACATTGAATAATTATTTCAAATGTTGGTTTTAAGGAAGTGTGAATTGTACGAAGAACATACGACCTTTATTGAAAATTTGTTCCAAATGTCAATTGCATCGTTTTTATTTTTGTTTGATATTAATTTAAATAACTTTTTACAGAAATAACTATTAGGTGTCAAAATATATAGTTTAGTATAAATTATTCTCTGAACTATCACATATAATAAAACCTATTCATGTTAAAGTAATTCAGTCAATGTGTATAGACTGTGTATGTGTATAGACTTCAGTCAATGTGTGTTTTGATGTTTACAGACGTTAATACTGTGATGCAAGGAAATTCTTCTATATTGATACGGAATATACATTTCACGCCAATGAACATCGATTTATACAATGTCGATTTTTAGCGAATCGAGTTGTGTTGGTCGATCGAGATATTTCGATTGGACAACACGGCCAGGGACGTCCTGGCTCCTCAAGTCAGGTGACTTCGCGACCTAGCAGTCTTGTGGGCAGCTTGTGGTTGTTGGGTGTGTTAAGTGTCTTCCGAAATTACAATTTTGGTGTTGTTTTGTATCGGTCGTTTTCTTTTGCCTCATTTTCAAGATGAAAGTGTGTGGTCCGACGTTATCTCTTTGTGGCCTGATTTTGAGTGCGTGGGGAGTTGTACAATTGGTAGGTGGATGAGACATCTAATGATCACATTTTTTTATATGCTTATAGTAATAACATTTGAGTTTTAATTTATAATTTTAATAATGTTTACAGGTGTTAATGGGTGTTTTTTATTACATTAAAAGTGTGGCATTATTTGAAGATATTGGTATGGAGGAAAAACTAGACGATCCTGCAGAATTTTATAGTAAAGCAGAAACTTTGTACACGCAGGTACGTTTTATATTTCATAGGTTGATGTAAATAACTAGTGTAACACATGATTATTATAATGTAAAATTGTAGAGGCCAATATGTTTTACTCAAACATCAGTATTTCATTTTCTCTTATAGTGATAATTTCTCGTCAGATTTATGTTTGAATGTTCATAATTCAATTCATTTTAACCTTTTGTATTATTTGAAACCAGCTCACAATGTCCATTTCTATGTTCAATCAATATTTATGTGTTCAATGACCACTTAATAAAAAAAATCTTTTTAAAAAATTAGCATTTATCAAAACTGAATCAAACAATCCCAAAATTCACTATAAAAGGAAATGTAGAATTCAGCATTTCAGTAAATATGCAAACATTTAGGTTGTGAATAATTTTTTTTTTTACTTTTTGTTAAATGTCATCTTAATATAGGGGAAATAAATGTTAAAAGAACACCTATATTTTTCTCTTTATTTCATTGTTTTTTGTAGATTCTTAAATTTTGTAATTGAAGTGAGGCTAAACAGAATATAGTGTTGTCTTTTTGAAAAAGCATTTGTAGATATTTCTAAGAAAACTCCTATTGAACATTTTTTAAAACGTGATGTTTCTGGATTATTTTTGTACAAAAATATTGAAGATTTGAGTGTGAAATCATAACTTTAATAGCCTTAAAATATTCAAATAAATTTGGTGAGCAAATTATTGAGATGAAAATATGGTGTACATGTACAAATATGTATGCCAGGATAGAAATATTGAGTTTAGGTTTTCCAAAGAAATATGCTGTATAAATAGTGGATTAAAACACTCCTGATCAGGGTGTTGATGAATATGGAAATGACAGGGAGGAAATATTATCTGGAATTAAATTTATTGGAAGTATTATTTTCTGAAATTGAGATAAGTTTCAACCCAAGAATTCTGAAAAATAAACTTATTTCAAATTTTTATCAATGTCAAGAAATAGTAGAACATATTCGTTAGAGAAAAAATGAATTGTTCTGATGACACATTTTTGTGTGTGGTGAGCCATGTGACTCCTTGGTTTGACCTTCTCACACTCTTTATGAAGACTTTGTAAGAAAGTTTTCTATTGCAAGAAAATATTCTGCTGGAAATTCATCGGCTTATCTGTGAGTGTAGAAACTGCAATTTTCCCTTTGTTATTTTGTTAATGGCTAAGGTGTTTGGTCTCCATAAAGACCTCATTCATGGTAATGTCTTAGTATACATGAAAATGGGTACAGAGGGAACTATGCTGTACTTGACAAGTTGTAAGAGGCAGTTTTTGTAATGCTTAGTGTACAGAGTGTGAATGTTTCATTTGAACTTTTCTCCATCACAGAGATATTGGTGGTGTTCCCATTTCTTGCTGCAAGCAAAATCTCATAAAATGTTAAATAATTGTATAATACTTATTTTATTTATAGTTGTGTCATAATTGAAATGATAATATTATTTATTCAGATTGTGAAACTAATTACACAAATTGAGAAATGTGCAATGTGAATATTTTACTTCTTCCATGAACACTTTTTTTTTTTAAACAAATCTTTATTTTGTGTCAAAACTAGAAAATCAGGGTAGTTGGGAATGTGAGATTTTTCAACACCCTGTTTTCCTATGAATTATTGCAAATATCACAACAATTTTATATTGTGTTTTAATCAATGTGTGATCAATAATAGTGATAATATTTCTGTTAATAATAAATCTTTTTTGATATTGAGTAAAGGTAATTTAGTAATCTATTTGTTCTAGTTTGTTCATAAAACATGTTCTTAAAACTAATTCAGTTAAAATGCTGTAACGTGGAATTCAGTGAGGTCTTGTGTTGAAAGTAGAGATTAAAAGTTTATTTGAGTAATGTATAATTTTGTATTTGTTTTTTTGCAGAGTGCTTTCAACTGTTGGATTGCAGCTTGTATATATGTGCTGCTGCTCATATTTTCAGCCCACCAGTTCTATGTTAACAGTCAATCTTCACATAGTCATGCCTGATATCTGTCACCTCAAACCAGAAAAATGAATCCTTAGAACTAGTATAATTTGTTAGGTGACATATCTTGGTGTACATGTTAATGGATGAAGTTTTTATGGCATTAGAAAATATAATCTTGAATGTATAATAAAATTATTGAAACGGCAAAATAAACAAAATAGTGTACAAACTCTTTTTGGTGGCATTATTGTTAATTTTCATAGAACATGTGAAACCACCAAATTTATAATTGTAAATTTCAACTGCTGAATTTCATGCTCTATTGTGTACATATGTGAATGTCAGTATTATAAAGTTTTGCTGCCTTGAAAGAAGTTTGTTTTTTTCTTTTGTTTAATTGTAAATACTCAGTAATGTGAGGCAATTCTGTTAAATATATCAGCAATATGTCTGATGCAATGTTAATCAATGTATATAATCACTTGTAATTTCATTAAGATTTTGTTCTGCTGATAAAGTAGTTTGAAGAAAGGATGTTAAATGGTATTAGAAAATGAACCTAGTAGTATTTGGTATAATGCTGAAAATTAATAGTGATGAATGTAATATACTTCACAAACTGGTATCAGGTTATTAGTTTTGTAATTTATATCCTGTACTGTATTTCGAATCTTTCTTGGTTTTGCACTCACTATTAATATATTTTACTTGTAATTTGTGATGTTTTTTTATGTACGGTTGATATGTAATTTACAAAATGCATTCCTTTGTCTTGCATTAAAATAAATTTATGTATCCTATGCATGATTGTCAAACTGACAAGTACTTAATAAAAATTCAGAATGTGAATGTTGTCAAAAGTCTAAAGTATTGCCGAATTTTTTTTTATTCAGAATGTTCTTTTGATTCCCTTAGATTTTGTAGTTGGGCAACATTGATGTTAGTCAACTCTTATTTATAATTCATAGGCTTCTAAACAAGCCCAGCTTGACAGTGGGGATATTCACTTGCAAGATGTCATTGTATGTGTATGGTGTTGTAAAGCTGGAAGCAATGAGAAAATCCACCCAATAAATATACCAACAAGGAGAGTGGAAAAGCATGTCATTTCATCTGACAGATGAATTGCACCAGCGACCAGTGGTTAAATACACGAGTCCTATTTAACCTTTTAAATACGAATGGGAAAGAGATTTCCCAGAGCATTTCAACCCAGCCGTACGAACGGGATACTTTTGGCTTGACCTCCAGAGGCGCACGTCGGCTCTTATCTATCGCTTGCTGACGGATGGCAAGCCACGGTGCTC